ACCTTAATGTAGACCAATTTAAAAAACAGGACCCAAAATTAAAAATCTAAATACACGGTTAGATTTGGAATATCAAAGAACCCCAATAATTCAATTTTAGATGAAATCAAACAAAGTTTAATTTTGGACCCTTTTGACCTCAATATGAACCAATTTGATAACTGGGTCCACAAATAAAAAATCTAAATACATGGTTAGATTCAGCATATCAAAGAACCCCATATATTCAATTTTTGTTGAAATCAAACAAAGTTTAATTTTGGACCCCAATTTGGACCAACTTGAAAACTGGGCCAAAAATCAAAAATCTAAACACATGTTTAGATTCAGCATATCAAAGAACCTCATATATTCAATTTTTGCTAAAATCAAACAAAGTTTAATTTTGGACCCTTTGGACCTTAATGTAGACAAATTTGAAAACTGGACCCAAAATTAAAAATCTAAATACACTGTTAGATTCGGCATAACAAATAAATTAATGTGATCAAAGATTTTACAAATCTAATGCGCCATACTGTGCAATTAAAGATTACTTCTTGAAATTTTTCAATATTTGAAATTTGAAAAAAAAATAATATTTGAAGAATAATTCTTTTTAATTTCTGAAATCTGAAATGAGAAAAAATTGACCCCCCACAATTTCTTTTTATCTCCCCCCCCCCCTTTTTTCCCCAAAAAAATTCTTTCCCTTAAGATATGGTCATAATCTCAATTCAAATTTCCAATGGAGTTTGCAACCATAATTACCCATTTAAATTTACCATAGTGCTAACTTAATCTATTTTATAATAGAATTAAAAATATAGCGTCAAATCTTTCATATGGATTTTTTTGTAAAAAAAAAAGATGTAACATTTGCAGATATTTTTACTGGTCTTCCTTTATAAACATGTATTTCTTTAAACATAATTTAAAAGCAGTGTAAGGGAAGTAACCAAAACGTTGTATTTGGATTACCTCCCTTACACTGTTTTAAATTATCTTTATTGTTCATTACCCATTACTTTATACATTATTTAAAAGCAGTGTAAGGGAGATAATTTCAATGATGTATTTGATTTATCTCCCTTACACTGATTTAAATTATGTTTTGTACTAAAGTATTTGTCCATTAACCAGGACAACCTTGTTTTTCCCCCTTTTTTGCCCCTAATTCCTAAACGGTTTGAGCCATAACCCCCCAAAGCAAATCCTAACCATCCCTTTGTGGTATGGAAACTTGTAGTATAATTTCAGAGAGATCCATACACCGTTCCACAGTAATTGTCTGGAAACTAGAAAATGCTTATTTTTGGCCCCTTTTTGGCCCCTAATTCCTTAACTGTTGGTACCATAACCCCCAAAATCAATCCCAACCTTCCTTTTGTGGTATTTAACCTTATGGTCAAATTTCAAAAAGATCCATTCACTTAAACTAAAGTTAGAGTGCGAAAACCAATGTGTCTTCGGACGACGACGCCGGACGACGACGACGACGACGACGCCAACGTCATACCAATATACGACCACAAAATTTGTTTGCAGTCGTATAAAAATCTAAACACATGTTTAGATTCAGCATATCAAAGAACCCCAAGAATTCAATTTTTGTTAAAATCAAACTAAGTTTAATTTTAGACCCTTTGGACCTTAATGTAGACCAATTTAAAAAGCAGGACCCAAAATTAAAAATCTAAATACACGGTTAGATTTGGAATATCAAAGAACCCCAATAATTCAATTTTAGATGAAATCAAACAAAGTTTAATTTTGGACCCTTTTGACCTCAATATGAACCAATTTGATAACAGGATCCACAAATAAAAAATCTAAATACATGGTTAGATTCAGCATATCAAAGAACCCCATATATTTAATTTTTGTTGAAATCAAACAAAGTTTAATTTTGGACCCCAATTTGGACCAACTTGAAAACTGGGCCAAAAATCAAAAATCTAAATACATGTTTAGATTCAGCATATCAAAGAACCTCATATATTCAATTTTTGCTAAAATCAAACAAAGTTTAATTTTGGACCCTTTGGACCTTAATGTAGACCAATTAGAAAACTGGACCCAAAATTAAAAATCTAAATACACTGTTAGATTCGGCATAACAAATAAATAAATGTGATCAAAGATTTTACAAATCTAATGCTCCATACTGTGCAATTAAAGATAACTTCTTGAAATTTTTCAATATTTGAAATTTGAAAAAAAAAAATATTTGAAGAATAATTCTTTTTAATTTCTGAAATCTGAAATGAGAAAAAATTGACCCCCCCCCACAATTTCTTTTTATCCCCCCCCCCCCCACCTTTTTTCCCCCAAAAAATTCTTTCCCTCAAGATATGGTCATAATCTCAATTCAAATTTCCAATGGAGTTGGCAACCATAATTACCCATTTAAATTTACCATAGTGCTAACTTAATCTATTTTATAATAGAATTAAAAATATAGTGTCAAATCTTTCAAAAAAAAAAAAAGATGCAACATTTGCAGATATTTTTACTGGTCTTCCTTTATAAATATGCATTTCTTTAAACATAATTTAAAAGCAGTGTAAGGGAAGTAACTAAAACGTAGTATTTGGATTACCTCCCTTACACTGTTTTAAATTATCTTTATTGTTCATTAACCATTACTTTATACATAATTTAAAAGCAGTGTAAGGGAGATAATTTCAATGATGTATTTGATTTATCTCCCTTACACTGCTTTAAATTATGTTTTGTACTAAAGTATTTGTCCGTTAACCAGGACAACCTTGTTTTCCCCCCTTTTTTGCCCCTAATTCCTAAACGGTTTGAGCCATAACCCCCCAAAGCAAATCCTAACCATCCCTTTGTGGTATGGAAACTTGTAGTATAATTTCAGAGAGATCCATACACCGTTGCACAGTTATTTTCTGGAAACTAGAAAATGCTTATTTTTGGCCCCTTTTTGGCCCCTAATTCCTTAACTGTTGGTACCATAACCCCCAAAATCAATCCCAACCTTCCTTTTGTGGTATTTAACCTTATGGTCAAATTTCAAAAAGATCCATTCACTTAAACTAAAGTTAGAGTGCGAAAACCAATGTGTCTTCGGACGACGATGCCGGACGACGACGACGACGACGCCAACGTCATACCAATATACGACCACAAAATTTTTTGGCGGTCGTATAAAAATTGTCTCAAACAGGGATAAGTCCTGTGAGGAGTCATCTGATAGTTGACCAAATGAACAGTATGTAAATCTTGACATTCTGAACAGTTTTGCTCCTGTTAGATGTTCTCAAACATGTTTAAGATAATATTTAATACTTAAATTTTACCCGTGTATTCTATTTTAAGCCATGGTGGCCATATTGATTGGTCAGTGCTTTTATCTGACACAATCTTAAATTTAGATTATATAAGGATGATTGTGGGCCTTGTGGCCAAGTTTAATTCCAGAAGAGAGGATTTATGTCAAAGTTAATGAACCATGGACGAATAATGATTGAAAAAGCTCACATTAGCCTTTTGAGCAATTGTACCTAAAAATGTTCAGCAAGATAAGATCTAATAAAATGCTCCGCTGGGCGCAGCTTGATACGACATCAGAGGTTGAACCCTGAACAGTTGGGGCAAGTATGGACACAACATTCAAGCTTGATACAGCACTGAATTTGGATTGTAATTAAATATTTGACACAGCATAGGTTTCTGACACAGAATGAATGTGGTCTAAGAACTTAGAAATTTTTAATTTACCTATTCAAACCATATCATTATTATTTGCTTTTATATATAAATCAGAAATAACCAATTTAAAATGGAAAATTTTAAAGAAAAAAAAGGAAAACCCCCCCCAGATCCATATGCTTGAACACAAGTTATTGTCTGGAAACTAGAAAAATGCTTATTTTTGGCCCCTTTTTGGCCCCTTATTCCTAAACGTTTTGGGCAATCACCCCCAAACTCAATTCCAGCTTTCCCTTTGTGATATGGAACCTTGTAGTACAATTTCAGAAAGATCCATACACTTACACACAAGTTATTATCATGAAACTAGAAAAATGCTTGTTTTATGCCCCTTTTTTGGCCCCTAATTCCTAAAATTTTGAGGCAATTACCCCCAAAATCAATCCAAGCATTCCCTTTGTGATATGGAACCTTGTGGTACAATGTCAGAGAGATCCTTACACTAACACACAAGTTATGTCTTGAAGTTACAAAAATGCTTATTTTTGGCTCCTAATTCCTTAACTGTTGGTACTATAACCCCCAAAATCAATCCCCACCTTCCTTTTGTGGTATTGAACCATACGGTAAAATTTCATGGAGAGCCATTCACTTAAACTAAAGTTATAGTGTGAAAACCAATGTGTCTTCGGATGATGACGACGACGCCAACGTCATACCGATATATGACCATATGACCGCAAAAACAACATTACCAAAATTGTAGATCAACTACTGAGAGGAGTTATTGCCCTGAAATGACTATTTTCATCCAAATTTGGGTTTTTGGTTATCATTATGAAACTACAATAGATAGAAATTTAACCAAAAAAATGATCAACCAACTGAGATCTATAAACAAGTCAACATGATGTAATTTTAACATTTTTGTTTACTATCTTTACATGGTTTTTCTGAAATTTAATTTTTCAAATATTTTTTTTTAATTGATAAACCAGGAAATTGAAATAATTCCAATGGCATTTAATATTTGAAGACTTCTCAATGACTGGGCAATTTTATTTTGGGAGGCGGTGAGGGACCAAAAGATTTAAAAAATTAACTTCCATGTAAGTGTGCCTGTCCAGAACAGAAAAAAGGCACTCCTCTATTGTTGAAGATGATCTATTGACCTGTAGATGTCTATTATGGTTTTTATGTTATTCGATTGCTCTCCCATGAAAATAGATTGATTGATTGTTGGTTACCTAACATCCAGTCACTGTGGCAAATTCATGAAAATAGATGAATCCACAGTACTCTGCCAGTGGAGCCACTGTCTCCTGCAAACAAGTCTTTCAAAGCTAAACATTTAGGTAAAATTTATTCAGTAGGCTTGATCAAATGACATTGATGACTTCAACAAAAAAATTGTCTGTTCAGATTATATAGCAAAATAATTTTAACTATGTATTTAGTTTGTCATAAACAACGCATATGTAAATTAATGCCATGTATTAAGTTCCTGATAAAAAACACTGATGTAGCAAAATAAATGAAGCAGTACAAAGTTACATTTTGTATCTTCATGTCTATTTTCAGAAGCCAGCTGACAATTTATAACCATCCTCCATGCTTCTGCTTAACTTTGGATTTGGCCAAGAAACTTTTTTCACCAAACAATATTATAAAATCATCTGTTAGCTTCTCCTAAACTATCTTCACATGATATCAGCTTCAGTATTTCTTCTGCATAAGATTTCTCCTCCTGAAATAGATAAGTTTTTTAAACTCTTAAGTACAATATATGAAGTGCTAATTCTAATATAAAAAGAACATGAATTATATTTTCACAGAATCTGATGAGTAATGATCTGTTATAGGTAAACACAAATTATGACAATCAGTTACTGTTAGAATGGAAATTATCCTTTATTTCGAAATTATATGAAATGCACAAAAATGACACATGCCAGGAGCAGATCCAGGGTTTGAGGAAAGGGGTGTAATTAACCGTATGGTTTAAAAAAAAAAAAAAAAAAAATAACGAACAAAATAAACAAAAAACGCTGAAGATAGCAATCTGAAAATTATTTTGCCCACTTTTTTTTGACAAAGGGATTGAGGGAGTTCTGGCCCTAAACATCCCCACCTGCATTACCACTGCATGCACAAACTGAGCTATTGTTAAATCAAGTAATGAAATGAAGTCTAAAGTGTAGGCCAGATTGACCTACTTTATGTGATGTGCTGTCATCCCTACATCAAGTTAAATATAATTGATAAGTTTACAACATTTTCATCATCAAATAAATGCATGAACATATATCTAAAATAGTCTAAGTAATAAAGCTATATCTTAAAATTTGAGGGAAAACATGGATTATTTTTAATACAGTGAAATATATAGCATTGACATTTTGGCTGTGTATGAAATGAAAACAAAAAACATACTGTAAACTGATCTTTGCCTGTCAGGAACTTTATTCTCTGTTGTAAAACACTGTGTAAATCTAATTCTGATCTTTGACATTCTTCAAGAGATCTTGGATGATCACTTACAATGGCTAACATGGCTGACATCACATGTTCATGAAAATTACTATGCTCTTCGTTTAAATGTCCTACTAACTGATCAATCATACCTATATCACATAAAATATCTGAAAATAAATTTACAAAAATTGATTATAAGTTCACAGGGTGACACAGTGAGCATGGGATGCTTTATTGTCAAAGTTCTGTTGAACCATTGCATTGATAACTAGGAGTTACATTGTAACTGACAGGCTTAACAGTTATCATTTTAAAATTACAATTAAAATAAAATGTTCCGCCAGGCGCAGCTTGATACAACCGCAGAGGTCGAACCCTGAAGAGTTGGGGCAAGTATGGACACAACATTCAAGCTTGATACAGCACTGAATTTGGATTGTGATTAAATATTTGACACAGCATAGGTTTCTGACACAGAATGAATGTGGTCCAAGAACTTAAAATTTTTTTAATTTACCTATTGAAACCATATCATTATTATTTGCTTTTATATATAAATCAGAAATAACCAATTTAAAATGGAAAATTTTAAAGAAAAAAAATGAAAAAAAAATCCCCCCCCCCAAATTTTTTGAACCCCCTTATGATTCATCACCCCAAAACTCAATCCCAGCCTTCCCTTTGTGGTCTGGTAACCTGCAGTACAATTTCAGAGAGATCCATACGCTTGAACACGAGTTATTGTCTGGAAACTAAAAAAATGCTTGTTTTTTGGCCCCTTTTTGGTCCAAAATTCCTAAACGTTTACGGCAATTACCCCCAAACTCAAACCCAGCTTTCCCTTTGTTATATGGAACCTTGTAGTACAATTTCATAAAGATCCATACACTTACACACAAGTTATTGTCCTGAAACTAGAAAAATACATTTTTTTTGCCCTTTTTTGGCACCTTATTCCTAAAGTTTTGAGGCAATTACCCCCAAAATCAATCCCCGCCCTCCCTTTGTGGTATGGTACCTTGCAGTACAATTTCAAAGAGATCCATACACTTGAACACAAGTTATTGTCTGGAAACTAGAAAAATGCTTATTTTTTACCCCTTTTTGGCCCCTTATTCCTAAACGTTTAGGGCAATTACCCCCAAACTCAATTCCAGCTTTCCCTTTGTGATATGGAACCTTGTAGTACAATTTCAGAAAGATCCATACGCTTACACACAAGTTATTGTCATGAAACTAGAAAACTGCTTGTTTTTTGCCCCTTTTTTGGCCCCTAATTCCTATAATTTGGAGGCAATTACCCCCAAAATCAATCCAAGAATTCCCTTTGTGATATGGAACCTTGTGGTACAATGTCAGAGAGATCCATACACTAACATACAAGTTATGTCTGGAAGTCAGAAAATGCTTATTTTTGGCCCTTTTTTGGCCCCTAATTCCTTAACTGTTGGTACCATAACCCCCAAAATCAATCCCCACCTTCCTTTTGTGGTATTGAACCTTATGGTAAAATTTCATAGAGATCCATTCACTTAAACTAAAGTTTTAGAGTGCGAAATCCAAAGTGTCTTCGGACGACGACGATGCCAACGTCATACCAATATACTACCGCAAAAATTTTTTTGCGGTCGTATAAAAATGAGAATAACACTTTATAAATTTCATGCGTCCGAAAGCGCTTTTCTGGATTTACCTTCATCATGAATGCTCAAAGCCAAATATTTGAAAGCCAAAGATGTATTTATATATAAGAACTGAATAGCCAAATCTGTCAAGGTAAACTTTGCTCGAGTGAGTTAAAACCTTAGTTTCTTAATAATTCATAACCATGCAATTTATGAAAGGTTTGAATAAATCATGTCAGTACCAAAGTACTGAGTGCTGAGCTGATGATACCCTGGGGAACTGATAGTCCACCAGCAGCGGTATCTACCCAGTACTGTCAAAAATGAGAACAACGTACACTTTATAAATTGCATGGGTCTGAAGTGCTAAACAGTCTGATGAATCTCCACTGCAGTAATCAGCATTTCAAATTTAATTCCAATTTTTTATCCTTGGTGTAAGAGATGAAGGAGAAATGATGTGAAAAATATACAATTCTTACTGTTAACGCTGATTTTACAAAAAAAAATCTGCATCTTCTTAATCCTTCATCATTCATCTTTGAGACACAATTTACAGAATAATTTTGTGTAATTTAGAACAAAAGTGATTATAGGTATACTATTGAGGTCAATAATTGACAATACATTGCGTATTAAGAAATAAATTGAGCTGTATAATAAAGTGTCTATTCAATTAAGTAATACAAGAGATGTTAACTGTGTTCAATTAAGATTGGTATTAAAGTGGAGGTGAATCCAATTAATACTCCCACCTTTGAGTGAAATTATTTGTAAATAATGACAGTTGTCTATCATACTGTATTGTATCAGTACTCTTACTTGCCTAAGGAAAGAATTGGAATAACAGCATTTCAAAAAAGTGTGGGAATCAACTTTGATATCAATACACATCTTGTACCAAATTTTATTCAATAACTTACACAAGCATAAGATACTGATAAAATACTTTCACAATTCTTATCATGATTAAATTTGATATATTACTTTTTCAGATTAATTCATCAATATTAATTTATTATAAATTTTGAAAAGAATATGTGCAAGTGTATATCTAAAATAAAGTAGCTGTTTGACCAATATTTTCTTAATTTAAGGGCAAATAACATGTCAAAAGTGTGCAGTAGATGATTAAAATGGTGTATAAAGTTTCTGCAAGTCATGAAAAACATAATTTGTTTCCTAATATGCCTTCAACTTGGAATTCTGCACAGTCTTATAATCTGGAATGATCACATCGATCCAGGATGACTGTATCAAAAATCATCCATGCACTTTTAATAAATTGTATAGAGATAAACTAACATCTATATTCTCAGTTTATAAATTAACAGGGAAAACAAATTGTATTTTATTACCATATTCCTATGATAATATCAATATTTAATAAATGCATACTACTTTCTTGATCATATTAAAAGATAACAGCACTTCCAATTAAGTCGGGAATATATATCAGTATAAATGCAACTTCTAAATATAAAATATGTATGAGGGTGTGGATGGGGGTTTACAGAATAGAGAATAATGGGCAAATAATATAAAGAATAGAGAAAAATTAGCCAAAAAAATAAAGAATAGAGAATAATAAATGAGGTGCTAAAATATATAAAGAATCGAGAATAATGGTCAAAAAGTATTAAATATTGGGAAAAATTACCTAAAAATCAAAGAATACAGAAATGAAGGACCCCCATCCAGACACTTATGTATTAACATGTACCTTTATATTCAGGTGTGTTATTACAGAGTGCAGATAACATAAAAGCAGCTTTAATTTTTAACTTTTCTACATCTTGTTGCATAGCTCTCATTAGCACAGAGAAACCATCATTATCTGTGAATACCTTCTGGGCTTCTTGGCAGTCTCTTGTTAAACCTGTAAAGAAATATACCATAGTTAAACTAATTAACTTGCAATGACTGACTATGTTCATAGTTAATCAAATAAAATGCTGCACTAGTCAGCCAATAACAGTACTAAATTAGTTTTCAGGAACATTCTCAATATTTGTACTATAACACAATTCACCTGTGATGATATGTAAATCAAAAACAATATTTTGTTTCAAGTAATTTTGATCCAGTTTAGGTTAAGTCTTGTTTAATTCATTGAAAATGACTTTGAATTGTATCGTTGTCTCCATGATGTACTTATTGCTGTTATTTATTTCAAAATATAAAACAAAGCATAAAAGTAGAGCTATGAGCTATGGCTCTATAATGATACCCTGACTTTAATATTCAATGACATGAATATGAAGACCAATGGATATGAAAATGCACCACATTTTATTGCACGTTCACATGATTTAAGCCTGATATCAAATTTCATACATGGCCATATAGTGTCAGAAAATACAAAAATTTAGTAAACAGGAAGTTGATGAGCGATTGATCTGATAATGTATTGCACAGTAAAGCATGTTTAAATGAAGTCTGATAAAAAATTTCAGGAAGCTCGTATTTATGGTTCTCTGGAAAAATGCGCTGGAAATTTCATACATGGCCATTATGTATTAGAATATATAAAGTATTCTGTAAACAGGAAATTGAGGAGTGATGAATGTGAAAACAAATCATTTAGTCTAGAATGTTCATATGAAGCTTTACAACAATTTTCAGGATGTTCTTACTTGTAGCTCCCTAAAGTCAGATAAGATAAAAGAACAGAGTTCCAATGTCCCCCGAGCTGCACATATTTTATCTATCTAATTTCCTAGGTACAAGAGCAATAACTAAAAAAAGCACTTTTTTTTGTTCTTTAAAACTTTTCATTAATATCTTAAGAGAAATGAAGGCTTCAGAGCAAATGCAATGTGATTTTCATTATAACTTATATTTCCAAGGGTCATAACTCATTAAAAATATTTGATCAGAACTTGTTTTTGTAAGTGTCATAGACATTGCTGATATAGACCAATGATATAAGTTTCATAAAATTCTGGCAAGAATTGAACACATGACAGCGATAACATTGTAATTTTCCATATAATCAATATTTTCAAGGGTCATAACTCTTTTAAAATAATTGATCGGCACTGATTTTTGAACTCTTCAAGTACATTGATGATACAAATCTATAATATAAATTTCATAAAAATTTGGCAAGAATTGTACACATTAGAGTGCTCATAAGACAATTTCCCATATAATTTAATATTTCCAAGGTGCATAACCCTTTTAAAAATTATTGATCGGCACTGATTTTCAAATCCGTCCAAGACATTGCTAATATAAACCTATGATTTAAGTTTCATAAAATACTGACTAGAATTGTACATATGAGAGTGGTAACAATGCAATTCTCCATATACCGGGTAATTTATTTTTCCAAGGGGCATAACTCTTATAAAAATAATTCATCGGCACTGATTTTCGAACTCATCCAAGACATTGCTGATATAAACCTATGATATAAGTTTATAAAAATCTGGCAAGAATTGAACACATGAGAGCACTAATGATTCAATTTTCCATAAAATTAATGTTTTCAAGGGGCATAACTATTTTAAAATTAATTGATTGGGACTGATTTTTGAACTCGTTCAAGATATTGCTTATATAAACCTATGATATGATTTTCATAAAATTCTGGCAAGAGTTGTACACATGAGAGCGCTAACGATGCAATTTTCCATAAAATTATTGTGTCCAAGGAGCATAACTCCTTTCAAATTAATTGATCGGCACTGATTTTCGAACTCGTCCAAGACATTGCTGATATAAACCTATGATATAAGTTTTATAAAAATCTGGCAAGAATTGTACATGTGAGAGCGCTAACAAGACGGGACGGACGGACAGACAGACGCCCAGTATTTCCATGTCCCCCGCAACGCGTTACGTGGAGGATAAAAAAGGAAGTTGAAGCATGATGAATCTGAATACGCAGCACAGGGTATAGCATGTTCACAAATAGCCTGATACCAAAATTCAGGAAGCTCTGATTTTTAGTTCCTGAGAAAACTATGAAGGAAATTTCATGGGACAGATTGACAAGGGTGAAAGAGTATACTCCCTCCTCCCGAATGGGGATATGAAAACATATATGAGCTAAGTTCCACAACTGGTGATCCATTCAAATATCAGTATTCTTCTGTACACAGGAATATAGCTTTCTCTAGTTCTTAGCCGATTTATCCTTTTCTTGACCTGTTGATTAATTTTATTTAATCAACGTGTGGTTTGTATGATCTCAGCTCATCATAGATCAAAATTCAATTTTGACTTCAAATTTTCTTGCTTTTCTCTGAATCTCCTATTGCGACGTCACGAAAAAAGGCAACCATACATGATGACGTTACATAGAAAGAACACACCTTTTGTAGATCATTGGAAAAGAAGGATTAACTTTGTCTGCATATGGTTTAAAAATCATAAGGGAAACAGATTCTACCACTAAATCTTGTGATATTACTCCACTTCCGACAGTTAAATTTGAAATATTAAAAACGCTTGGCAAGCCTTGCGTTTAAAATTTGAAAATTTATCTGTCTCGAGTGGATAAATATTGTATCACACTCGATTCAGTGGTAAAATTGAGAATGGAAATGGGGAATGTGTCAAAGAGACAACAACCCGACCATAGAACAGACAACAGCAGAAGGTCACCAACAGGTCTTCAATGCAGCGAGAAATTCCCGCACCCGGAGGCGTCCTTCAGCTGGCCCCTAAACAAATATATATACTAGTTCAGTGATAATGAACGCCATACTAAACTCCAAATTGTTCACAAGAAACTAAAATTAAAAATAATACAAGACTGACAAAGGCTAGAGGCTCCTGACTTGGGACAGGCGCAAAAATGCGGCGGGGTTAAACATGTTTATGAGATCTCAACCCTCCCCCTATACCTCTAGCCAATGTAGAAAAGTAAACGCACAACAATACGCACATTAAAAATCTATAGAATCTATATTTCATGTAATTTATCACAGTATATCATTTTTACATGTTAACTCACATGAAACAGCATATAATGCTTTAACTTTAACTGTAGAATTGTCATCTTTATCTAACAATTCTAGGAGTACTGGTAACATTTTACTCTGTAAAACTGCATTTTGACAATATGGATTATTCTGTACCAAACAGGCAACCAGTTCCAATGTCTGCCATCTTATTTCTGCTTCTTCATCTGATAATAACTTTGGGAATAGGTCAAAACCACCAATCTTATGAAAATCTGCATAACATTTTTAAATATCATTGGAAAATCAAAAAAAAACAGAGAATGGATAATGTATTAAGCTGTAAAATGAAAGCAGAAAAAAATTTGCATTTTGAATGGTGTTCTTATCTTACTGTTTCAACAAAGAGATCACAATCAATGTCCACATTATTTCAAAGGCATTAATCTATTTTAGATATTTAATACCTGTGATCTTTAAGCTAAAAAATATTGAATGTGTATATCCATTAACAAAATTAAAATATATTTTAATCCTTATTCCATTTCTTGCATGTATGTTTTGAAATTTGAATGAAATAATGTTACAGATGATATCCCTCTAACCCCAGATTTCCTATGAACTTATACATACATGTACATTCATTATTCAATCAAATTATAATTGTCACTTTTTTTACAAGTTGGTCAAATTTAAAGGGGCATTAGCTACAAGATATCATATTACAATTTTTTTTTTGTTCAATCATTAATGAAAGTGAAATAGTGAAATGATAATTCACTTTTAGCAGCCAGTTTGGTTCAATTTTGTCAAAATAAGCAAAAACACATCGCTGATTCATTAATCACTTGCAAGTGAATAATTCGACCTCATTAAATCCATATTCATGTGACCTTCAATTGAACCCCTTAGCTAGAGATTGGTTACACATGAACTAGGAGTGTTCAGCTATTAACAGGAAAAGAATGTCAACATTGAAAATGAAACAAGCGTAAACCATTTTGCTGACTTAATTCGATCCACAAAAACTCATTCTTATACAGGTAAAAACCATGATTAACAAATTTTTTAATCTATAATATGAAATCAAACAGACCTAGAAAAATCCAATTGCACGTGTTTACCATCTATTTATATCTATATTTATGTTTATATTAGGTTATATGACCGTCGGCAGCCTTCGGAGGTCACCTTGATGGTTAATTAGATGGCGTCTACACTAAAATACACACGAAATGCTGATACATAGTCCATGCATTGTAAATTGGTTATTTTAGACTTTTTATAATTTGGATATACGTTTTAGTATGTTATAAATCAAATATAAGAATTTGAGTCAAATTGGTGAACATGAATCCATGATAGCAGGCAATAATTTAGTCAATTTTCATCCAATCAGAAGAAATTGTAATGTACATGTATGAAGTGGTAAGACTTTCTAAAAGTTTACCTATGGCATAATCCATATTTTCACCCCATTCAATCAGTTCCTCCATAGCTTGTATTCTCTCTTCCTCACTGCTTTGATGGTTTTTCAAACATTCAATACAGGTCTTCATTCTTTGTACTGGACTAACAGACATGCCAACCAATGCTTGATCTAACCATTTCTTTCTCTATCAACATAATACATAATGTTGTTTTAGTTAAATTAGCACATAGCTATATTTGGAAATATTGAATTGTCAATTTCAGCACAGATTATCGGGCTCAATGCTAGAAAAAATCTGCTTGGGCCAGTAACATCATAAAAAAAAGTTTTTTTTTATAATATTCATGATTTTTTTTTTTACTTTTTAATTGTTTTCTGGCCTGTAAATTGCAAAATCTAATTTTGAAGACTGTTATTTCATATTTTCATCAAAGACCCTACTTATTTTATACTGCTGTTCATTTGTACACCCCTATAGTAGTATGTACACAATTTCATAATATTACAGGATAATTCAGATTTTAATAAGAAAGAATCTCATATCAATTGACTTAATCTAAGGATTGATGATAACACTAAGATAAAAAAAAAATACACGAAGCTACAGAGTCTGACTTATAAAACAAAATAGTTTTTGGAACAAAAGTGTGTATTACAGTAAAAATTACACATATGACATACAAACAGCAATATGTTAATATAGAAATTGTGATATAGATGCACTTCAAGAATAAAAATATTTGTCATTCACCAAATGTTGTGCATATTCTTTTGTTATCAAAATAAAGTTCTTAAGAATCAAATAGAGATTTTTAATATTATTTTAAAATGCAAATAATAGTGAGCACCAATCTTCATATTTCATAAAAAGATATTCAAACCAATTTGTTATTATTCTAAATTTTAATATTGGAATTTCAGCTATGATTTAAATTAGTACTGATCACGAGGGCTTCATTTAAATATTAATAAACTTCATCTTCAACCTCACCTGAAGTGCATCAGGTACAAATTCAGTTTTGATTTGCATTGGTGTATATGCTCTTTATTATGTTAATTGGTCCTTTATTAGGAATAACTTATTTTGAATATATTTTTTTAGTACCCTGGTTTGCTACATTTTTTTTGTAGTTCACTCTGGATTTCACTGGGGTATATGTTTCTAAATTCTTTTTAAATCCACTACCCTTCCCCCTCTCAATATCTTTGGACAACTATTTTCCTTATAAACATGTTTTTAAAAGAAGAGTGACAATAAAAACCACAAGTTAAAACAGACAGACCCTATCATGACCATAGCCAGAACAAAAAGACAAATAATATAAAAAAAAATTATACAAAGAAAACTAAAGATTGAGGAACAACAACCTCACCTAAAACTGAAAACAAACATTGTACTTTTTCAACTAAAATTGACTATAAATCATGAACAATTCAGTATACGTGTACTTACTATCAATTTTAGACATAAGATTTTGTGTGAAACACAGGCCAGCTCCCTTCAACTTTTCAAGTTGAAATTAATACTCGGGTATATATCACTGTACATACATGTACTGTATACAATGATACCCATTGATAGGAACAGGAGATGATAAAACACTTGGTAGGTTTATGGACAGTGGAAGAAGCTCATTTTTAATACAATTTATATAAAATACAATTTTTTTCTGGTTTGTTTATTCTCTTAAGAGGACAGGTCCAAAAAGTTACAAAAGGAACCGAATGTTGTAGAACCTCACTACCCTACAAGGTTTATCATAACCCTGAAACTGTTCCTCTGTTTTCAGAATAAACTTTTGAGGTATAAACACAGCCATATTTGACAAAAAGCTATGATCAACCTTTATATGGACCAAATATTTTTAACAGTAGAAAATTCAATAAAGATAAAAATTAATATAAAAAAACAATATATATATATATATGTCATGTATGTGCTAGTGAATAAAAAATCATTAACTTTTTTTTAAACAGTTGCAGTTGTGCATTAACCCTGTTAAAGGAGGACTGCCATGTTGCAAACCATGATTTCCCACAAAGGAGTAGATGCAATAAGGTATAAAGGTTTAGCCCAAATATTAGTCCAAATTAAAAAGTAATTAGATATGTTCTTAAAGTTATCCAAACTATACTAATGTACAAGGTGTTCAGAAAATAAAAACACATTTTACATTAAACAAGTTACATGTACATTGTACAACGCCAACAAACCATTAAAAATATGTAGAATTTGTAGAATTTCATGATTTTCCTCATTTTACTGTAATACATTTAATTTTTTAGTATATTTCATGTATTTTGGATTGAGAAAGTATGTGCAGAACCAAGAAACAATTTTATATTTGGTGAAAATATGTCAACAGCTAAATCAAACTTCTCTAAAATTATTTATTTGTTTCTGGCAGCGCACAATGTTTCAACACAGGAAATTTGGATGAAGAACTGCATATTTCAGCAGATTTTCTTTCATTTTCCTGAAAAAGGTACATAAGATGATGCAATTATGACGTCACAACTTGAAAAGTCTTGTGTAAATCATTTATATTTCTTGATTTTAAACATTTCCAAACATTATGTGCAAATTTAATATGGGACAAAAACAGGCATAATGCTCCTTTGTATATGACTGAATACAAATACTGAAAAATGAGCCTTAAGCATATTCATTTCAACATAGTTGATCATACAAATTGAATGCAGATTTTTTGTTAAGTTGACATCCTCAATCATTACTTAATTCTAAATCGTTTTACATTTTCACTGTAGTTTTGATTTCGTAAAATAAGTAATTTTTTTTTAAATCGTCCTCTTTTGCAGATAAAACCTGTCTCATATTAGAGTATTTTTTAGGGTGCAGGCCGTTTCGTAACCTGGTCGTTTCGTAACTAGTCGATTCGTAACTTACTAGGTCGTTTCGTACCTGAGACGTTTTGTAACCTTATATCAATATATAATAACAATATGAGTCGTAGGTTACGTAAAAAATAATAAAAAGACTTATTGATGTATATATATATCTATATTTATTTATTAAATAATTGATTGCACATAATTTTACACTTTACAAGTACACAGTTTTGCATTTAGATGTACCCCGTCTTTATCAAAGTATTTAGTCTTCAGCCACGTGCTTTGATGTCTCCAATACTTGACACCACTCATCTTTATGTTGCTTAGTTCTTTATTTATCTTCTATTTAAATGTCTCAATGACTGTACTTTTCTCCCGCCTACCCCGCCTACCCCGTGAAGCTTTGTTTGGACAGAACTTGATAAGTCGGATTGCGTTCTTAACATCCAATTTTCCAGTCTTCGGATGAAATTGTGACCGATCACAAGTACTTTGGGCTTATTTACTGTTAGTGACATATTTGGCGTTTATAGATGAATGAAAAGGAGTAAAAAAAATGCTATTATACCATTAAGTGAACGGATGAAAAATCAGGCTTTATGCCAGTATAAACATGCAAATAAAGGACAACATAGTGATGTATCTGAAAGAAAGAAAAAGGATAGAATAAGATAAAGTGTTTTTAAAAAAAAAAAAAACTTCGCCAACGCCGGTCCCCAGCCGGGTGAAAAAGGAGGAGGGTTATGCAATAGCATGTAAAAGTGAAAAAAAAAGGAGAATTATTATTTTTCTCAGGTCGTGTGCCTTAGGTCGTGTGCCATTAAATTAAAAATATTACAATATTGTTATTATTAGATGAACAATTTGATCATTTTTAAATAATAACTTTAACTGTTTCAATCAATTTTTAAACTAACACTTTATAACCATACAGTATATAATTACACCAGGTACGAAACGTCTCAGTTACAAAACAACGTAGTTACGAGTCGACCAGGTACGAAACGACCAGGTTACGAACCGACATGCATTCATTTTTTATAAAAAGTACCTCTTCATCCATTGGAGCAAATTCCTCTGCTTTTGCATCCTCATCCTTAGTTGCTTCCAGACAGAATTTCAACAATGCTTTCATATCTTTTGGATTTCTCTGATCATTTCCACCACCGCTAGCCATTTTAAAAAAGTTATTCGTCAATAATTTCTACGTCGGTAAACTGATAAATAGATATCAAATGTAAATAAAAATACCAGTCTGAGTGAGTCTCTAAGTTCTAACAGTCTAAAATTTCGTACTACTGTAAGAAAACATCAAATATAAGCAAGTTCACGGAACGTATATTGATGTGATTTACTTATATACTTCTTTTTTAGACATAAAATGACTCAGGTAAATTTAAATAGTTTAGAAAGTTGTAGAAAATTCTACATCAAATTATCACAATTGAGATATTCCGGAATAAACTCTAAATTTAGTTTTGATGTTTCCGGGAAATAGAGCTATCTAAAACATAGTCTCTATATTCGATCTTGGTATATAAGCTTTCACACACATCACCAACAAACACTTAAAATACAATATAAAATTTCAATACGAAGGAATAGATAAAACGATAAAAAAAAAAATGGCAATTCCGAAACATTCTATAATTGATCAACAATAAGCAAATTAAAACGAAGGATTTGTATAGTAAGACATACTATACAAATCCTTGTTAAAACAAAACAAAACAAACAAAAACAAAACGAACACCAATGTAAAACAAAAAAAAACAAATAAACAAATAAAATGAAATAAATGGGATAAAAATGATGACCCCATTCAATATAAACCCCCTCTCTCAAAAAAAAAAAAATAAATACGAATATACCAATTTGTGCATTTATCAATCATCAGAAAGTTTAACTAACACACCAATTACGAAAAGGCATTAAAAAAAATTGATTGGTTTTTGCATAGAGATTATATAATATAAATGTCATTATCAAGACTTCATTTTCATAAAAAAAATGAATTTGAAAATTATTGATAAAATTTAATTGAAGATTCTACCATTTCTAACGTGCCATTTTGTCGAGTTCTATAATATGGTCAAGAAAACAAAACTCTACTCTAGTTTTAATTGTAAAGTAAACAAACATTCAAATCTGATTAAGAAAACAAAACAAATCCCATTTTAATCTAATTATTATCAGTACAGTTTTACAACATAATTAGTAAAGGTATCAACAAAAGAACTCAATTATAGATATCAAAACATCTTAAGTATACTTCTCACTTATCACCTGTTACAACAAAGTATTAATAGAGCAGACAGACATATCTCAAAAACTATAAAGTCGTCGAAAAGTCTGATAATCCAATTAATTCACAACTGTCTTTCGTTCATAAAAGAACTGCAAACGTATATTAAAACATTCAATAATTCCCGGCTATTCAAGAAAGTTTGAGCGAAAGGTAAGAGTTGTATGAGGGATAACTTACTTTGAAGGGTTCTGATAAAGATATGATGATACAATTTTTTCATTGACGAATTTCTGCACACCTAAAATCACAATCGTCATCTTATATATTTTTGATCAAGTGCACATAAATTAGTCAATTAGTTCCCATGCATTTTTCATTGTTAATTTTTTATTTTTAAACTTTCTTCGATAATAGACATTAAAATTGGTCAAATAATGATATTAATCATTCTTATTATTATTATTATTATTATTATTATTATTATTATTATTATTATTATTATTTTACAGTTTTCAGAATATAAAGATGTACAATACAACAAGTGACAAGATTCCACAAAAGAAGATGAACAAAAAGCTATACGCTCCCGTTCCAGTTACCAGTACAACTAGAAAGAACAACAATAACGTGGAAAGAAGTGGTATGGTGGCACTTTTTATGGACGACTGTTCTACGACTTCTGGTAGTTGTGTGCAAAGCCGTATTCTGGGGCCATCGGATACCTACTCAACAATATCTTCAGAACAAAGTCTTCCATTCCATTTAATGTCTGACAGCTCGTCATGTACCAGTTGTTCACAGAATCAGTGGAACCTACCTCCCTACACTGTTATAGACCCATACAGACACTACGCAAACGTTCCAGTCTATAAATCCACGGTAAGTCATGGCTCGACTTAGATTATTTATGAAATTTTAAAAAGGACTAATTGTATAGAGTTCAAGACTGCAACACATTGAAACAGTTTCTTTGTCTTATCTTACCTTTTATTATGTCGCTTCTGTCGTCATTAAAGGACAGACAATGTAGTCAAGAAAGTAATAACAATCATAACTTTGACGTTTGTTAATCAAAAAGTAGGCAGAATAAGTCTTGAGATAAAATGTTACATTTTTTTTGTTATTTCTGCAACTAACTGACTATCGTATAGATCAAAGAGGAAAAACATGTATAAATATTCCTAGTTAGCAACGTACAAAAACACAACGCAAGAATAAACAAAAGTTGCAAATGTTCATCTATTTCTCCTACTGGCTTTTACTGCTGTTTCTGCATTCATAGATGACATAAAAGATGGATTTTCATTACCTTTCCTAAATATCTAAATACCAAATCAATGTCAAACAAACTGTCATTTGCATGACTGTTTGCAGTTTACATATATCTTACAATTAAAGATAAATGGAGTATGTTGTTAAAAATGTTATTTATTTTTACAGACTGTAACACTGAAGACAGTAAAGAGAACTACACGGAAGAGTGTATGGCTTGGTCTTATATTCGGTTTCTCCATATTCCTTCTGGTCGTACTTGGAGCTGTCATCTCATATGGTTTAGAAAATGGCATGCTATGAATAAAAAGTTCAGCTTTAAATAAAAGAGTGAAAGAAATTGACCTCTACAAAGGAGAAGTACAGTGACAGAACAAGGCATCGGATCATCAATGCGTTAATTCCAGTCATTCCCAATGTTTGCCCAGTAACGGAGTGTACATCGTACGACTGCAAATCAAAATGCTCTCGAAGAGGGGTTGTGAATAAGAATTCATTTTACAACAAATTAATCACAATCCAAGTTGTTAACATGTCCAGCAAAATCATGACTTAAGCTATTACTGACTATTTTTTCGAAATAGTGCATTTGAAAATTATAATTTGTATATAATTGTAATATGATATATTGTGAATTATGTATTAATTGTACTACTAGTATTTATTTTGTTCTAACTTATTACTGTTTGTTTCAATTAGATATTTATTTGTGAAAAAACCTTTGATGTCTTATTTTTACAATCTAAAACCATTTTCCAAGTACTAGATACGTGGGGAATATTAAGTTTATCACAATTTCCGCCCACGTGGTTAGTGACAATAAACAACAAAACATCAATCCCACGCAATGTGTTTACAACACAGAAAGCAGGGGTGACTATAAATTTCTTTTATTGGATTGTAGCACAAGACAGTTAAAGGAGTTTCGAAATCAATGGCATATTTACTAGAGAAAAAAAATCATCGCAACTTTTTCTATACAAGAAATCAATTGACTAATTATTCGTTTTACGTAAGCTAAACAATCGCTTTATCGGCGAGAAAATACATTTTATTCTAATTAAGACATGACGTAATACCTCCAATTTTGTATAATGTAAGTACTACGTTAACCCGGTCTCGAAAAAATCCAAGTGTCTGGATGTTAATGTAAAGAGAGAGTGCGATTCGAAATATTGTCTACACCGCAAGAACAAAACTCCTTAGTTACATTCTGATATACGTATGGTTTTTAAAACTTATTTTTTTAATACAAACTTGGGACGTGAAGTCCGAAGCTCATTGGTAGATGGTGAAAATGCCTTCTGCCTTACGTAACTCCGTGAATTGACTAATTTATACCAAACATTGACTCTTTTTCAAGATTCTCATGTATGTCTGCTCATTTTCCCCCATCAACACGCCATACTATTAAAAACTCAAAACCAAATTTATCTTCAAAAGAGGAAGGGTCGCCCTTTTTATTCTGAAACCTTAACAATGCAACAGCCTGCCAACTTTATATCACTATGGTATTGGACAATCTAATTCATAGGATTTAGGTTTACATCAGTATTCGCAGAAGTCTCTTTTCTAATTAAAGAAACTGATATTGGATACTATAGCAATCTTGTACATTAGAAATACAATAGAAAGCTACAATAAAAGAAAAAATCAACAGTTTCTGTGTATATTTTGGCAAGCAAACCACGGAAAGGTCTTCGAAATGAAAGAGGCCAACTGAAAACGGAAAAGTCGAGAGAACAGATCTCAACAGGACAGTCTCTTGTCAAAATACATGAATATATTGAACGGTATTCACGCAATACTGAATCATTTTGCATTGCCAGGACAATTCATTGACCCTCATTTCTGTTCCATTTCCATTCATTTATTCGAAAAGGAGACTTAATACAGAAAACGCTGAAATCGAAAAGTAGGCGAGTACAGATTATTGATTATAATATAAAAAAAAAATCTGTTAATTATAAGGAACATGTGTTCCAATGTGTGTAACCGGCAGAATTGTACACATTATTCGTATAAGGTTCTCTAGCACCAGTTAAAACGACTGCGATTGCATATTAAGTAAAATCAAAGCATGTTTATTTAATTTTCTGCATATCTTTTTTTGCCTTGGCGTTGTCAGTTTATTTTCAACTTATGAGTTTGAATATCCCTGTGGTATCTTTCGCCTCTCCTTTAGAATGTCAATCGTTTTCTTTCGTGTAAATCATTTTAATAGCATCTGATTCTAATAATAAAACTGATTAACATATACTTGGAGTAAAATACATATAATGTTTACAGTATGATAATAACATTAAATTTACGTGAATTCCATATTTTCAGAAATGGTGCTTAGCGGGCTGATATGAAAAATTTATCAACTGCTTCCGGCTTTTATCGCATACCTTTCCGCATAACAAAGTAGGGTACAAAACAAATATTAGGAAACAGGAAAATATTTTATGTAAAATGCGAAACAAATGATACAAAAAATGCATTTTTCAAATTTTCCAGCATAATATAGCAAGTTACTTTACAGATGTTGACTTTTCCTAACAGTGTTCATTATATTTTGTTCATTTTTTTATCGTCAATATACAAATATATTATACTATTGTTTTTCTCCTCTTTTGAGGCATATGATAGAAAGATTTCATATCGGATGTATTACATTTGGCGTCAGGCCGTCGTCCGTAAACTTTTCACTTTTTAAACTTAAGAACCACTTAAAAGGATCAATATATCAAACTGTTATTTTCTCCATTGTTGAAGCATATGATAAAAAGATCATAACATATCATTTTTCATATCAGACGTATTATCAGCCCACGAGCCTTCGGCTCTTGGGCTGATATTGAACCTTGGGCTGATAACACATCTGAAATGAAAAATGCCATGTAATAATCTGATATTATAAGTTTTATCATAAGTAAATATGTCGCACGATAATAAATCTTTAACACA